GGGGGGCTTGTTTTCGGAATTTATCGTTTTGCTGTATTTTTTTTGTTTCAGATCATCGACGTGGCTGGGGCAACAGAGAAAATATGGGGTAATATGATAACACCACAGCGACCCCATCCGCGTTATGACGGTTTTATAATCTGTTGGCTACACCACAGTGACCCAAAGCTTCTATCACACTACAGTTATTGGTCCAGTACCACGTTTTCCTATTTCAAGAACTGTTGGCAGAATTTTACATCTTAACCTGTGCATTAACGCTGACCGTCAGATGCAGTGGCTAAAACGATGATTAACTTCGGCCAATGCCAGCAAGGAGTGTCAATGAAACCTTAAAAGGAATCTGCATTCTTAAAAAACGACATGAGGAACAACCGAGTACAGTATCCCAGGGAAACGGCACTGCATACGATGCGATGGAACCCGGTTAAGACGGACACCCGTATTTAGCGAGCGCGCATAAAAGGCGCTGAGGACACATTTATTATCAGTACAGAAACAAAAAAAGCATGGCGGAGATCGTATTGCAGTAAAATAAATGTTTGCTCAGTGTTTTAAAAGCGTCAAAGTAATCATTTATTTACTGCGTGCCGCGCGCCTTGGCCTCATGTGTTAGGTTTTCAATAAAAACAGACCTTGTTATACTCTGTAATGTATTAACTGAACAGGAACTATTAGATTGCGCTTCCGGTGTATACGCTATATTCTTTCCCTCTGCAGAAGTGTTCCAGATGATAGTTTCCCTCACGTAAGCTAGTTTTAGTTCCGACATCCTCAGGAAGATCAACGCCGTGACACTAGTACATGGAAGGTGCTCGCTGCAGGTTATGGGCTTCTGTGAATACCCATTTCATGTAAGTGCGAGCGATTAGGACACTTGGCGACACTAGGCTTTGATATATAGAGTAGCATAATATTCTGCTAGCGGTGCTCGTATATTTCTAACATTATGCCAATAGTTATGCTAGTTTTTTTTTTTTAAATTAGCGGTATGCTCATTGCCGGGAGCTCATTTTAGCAAAAAATGCTGAAATCATGCTTGTACTTTTTACTTTAAATTTGGTAGAAACTCTCCAGTAACTATGCAACAAACAAGTAAATGGTAAACACATTTACCCTATTTACATCCGGAGAAACTTAAAGAGTGCATGATTCATTGTCCGACTTCTACAAAAACTCAAACAAGGGTAGCCTGCGAACGGTAGACGTTTCTCCTCGTTCATCGCCGCTGAGGGACGTTTCGCGAGGAGGAACGTCTGCGTCATCAGTATGGAATTTCGGTCGCTGAGTCGTAGACGTTCCTCCTCGCGAAACGTCCCTCAGCGGCGATGAACGAGGAGAAACGTCTGCCGTTCGCAGGCTAAAACAAGGTACCCTTCCACTTTTTTTTTTTTCAACTTTTAACATGGAAACAGTCCGTCGACACCACTACGAAGAGCGCCTTAAAATTAAAATTTTAAAGGTTTCGCTTCTCTCTCTTCCCCCTTTCCCTCAGGCTACTTAAGGGGAGGTGGGTCGGGGGTTTTGTATCAAGACCGCGCGATAAATGGCGCAAGTAAAAGAGCGGGGAGGGGGTGGGGAAGAAAGGAAGGAAACGCTTGCAGACAAACCCCGGGATTTTGAAAATCACCCACTTGGCCCGTCATGCCTAAGTTCGCGCACCGACTTTTGATGCTGTCATCAGCTGTCATAATTGACCGATAAAATGTTTGGCTTTCAGTGGAGTGGAAATGAACTTCGGAGGACGCGTATGTGAACCCAACAACACGTGGACGGCGTTTATCAGTTCCTTCCTTTCTTCCCCTCCCCCTCCCCCCACTTTCATTTTTTGGCTCTTGTTTCATTTCTCGTGCGGCCAAAACCGAGAATCCCGTTCCTTGGTCTTTCTTTGCTCCGAAACCAAATGGAAACGCTCGCTATCAGTGGCTATTGGAAATTCTTTATCCCTTTCCCAGATGTCAAATCCCAGTTGCAGTCTAGTAAATGCCATTGCTCAGGCCTAAGAAATCCCTGCTCCCATCTTAACCCAGTTGCCATTTTCAATTTTTTCAAATGTTTTTTTAACCTGCGTAGCAAGCGTTTCCGTGCGGTTTAGGAGCAAAGAACGAGGAACGAGAGTTACGCAGGCTAATGTTTTTTTGGAATTTCAAACGCGCGCTCCAAAGAATTCTGGGACACTGTATCCCAGGCTTTCTCGATTATTATTGAAAGATTTGTTTGTTAGGATTATTTCGTAGTTCCTGGTTTTAAAATTGGAACAATTCGATTTGAAAACGCCTAAAAGAACCATGTCCAAGACTCCACAAGGTTGGTTTTACTTCTTTAGTGGACTCATTATTCATCAGGGGTGCTCATTAGTTTGCTTGCAATGCAATAATACTACAAGTCAACGACGGTTCATACGTTCGATGCCATTTTGCCTTGCTAGCTGATTATTGCCAAGCTATGGCAAAAATTCCTGATTTTGACAATTATAGGACGTTTTTGTTTTGCTGAAGTCTATGTTTTCGACAGAGAACTGAATCAGTTTGAAAGATTATTAAGATGAAAATACTGAACTGCTGCTCATGGTGTTTTTTGTCAATATAAATAATTCCGCTCGGCGAGCCATACGATAATTTAGCTTCTATCAGCGATATTAGAGTTAACTTAAGCTTACTGACGCCAGAATTGAATTAAGCTTTTAGACAAATAGCTGGTAAGTTGTTAAGAGCAGTGTTATAATCTCTACTTCTGTAATGAAGAGTTTTTTTTAAGAATACCATAGTGCTGCCAGTATACCTAGGATATCAAAAGGTTGAGTTTGATCGTCCGGGTGAACGTAGTCCTGAATAGGACTGTTTTTGTTGACAGTGACTTATATATCTAGGATATATAAGCTTAAGAGATGTAATCATAGCAGCCCTATTGGAGGAAAGGCATATGGCTAACTCGCAGAACACAAGAAGATATCTCAATAGCTCCTTAACTCCATCCAGTTTCATTATGATGGTTTTTATTTCTGTCTTCACAATTGGGTGCAAAATTGTTTGACTACTAACCCTGGGGTTATTAGAATCAATCCACCTTTTTGTGGGGGAAGGGGATGGGGGAGTAATCCTCTCGCTCATTATTAGGGGTATATAGCCAAATATAGGCAAATAGAAGGACTGGAGAATTCACAAGATCGCTAAATCACAGATGCCAGATATTGGGATATCACAGAAATTTACTGTTTTTTCCAAACTACATTTTGCTGGAAACAGGAAATTTTAAAACTTGAAACTGCAGTTAAATTTCCCCTACATGTAGCAAAATTCTGCAAATGTCCTGGTGACTTATCTCGCCTTTCTTGAAACCTCATGATTACTTTGAGAACGTATACAGAGAGGTCTGTGGTAGTAATAGATGTGATGCAAAATAATATATTTTTTGCTTCAGTTTGTCCACACGTTTTATTTTTCTTGGATTTCAATAATAATCATTGAAATCCAAAAAAAATAGAACGTGTGGACAATCTGTTATTTTAAGAGGACAGAAGGCAAATGGCTGTTGCTCGAAATATATAAAAGTCTATAAAATAGAAAATCTAAATGTCGTAACGGTTCATCAGTAGGATGCCTAAAAGTTTATTGTGGTCCCCAGTAGCATGGGGATCAATTCCGTGATGGTGACTCTCATATAAAATTGACAGGGATACTTGTTATCTTGCTTTGGGTTAAAGATGTTGGATTTTGGTCTCAACCAGGATTTTCGGTGGCATGTACTGTTCCTTTAAAACTCAATCCCATTTTCCTCTGACTTACCCGAAGTCAGGAGCGGAACCTAATGCACAGAATTTCCTCAACACCCCTTGTTATCTTTCAGGTTTTTACCCAAAACAGGGTGCACAATATCCAACTCAACAGCCAGCTTACCCTGCCCAGCTCCAGCAGGCACAATTTAGTGGTGGATACGCCCTTCCACCTCAACAGTCCGCTGGAGGATACCTTCCTTATGGTGCACAGGGACCATATGGGGTTCCACCCCCTCCATACAGTGAACCTGCACAGGGTCCTGCTAATAGTGGCTACAATGTGCTGGTATGTTAAGGCTTTTCTTCTTGACCTTATTCTGGAATAGGAGTAAGATTATTATTCTGTAAAAACAAGATTTATAAAAGATGTTCTCATATGTTTTTTATAGTGATGTCTCTGCGATTTTGTCACAAATATATAATCACACCAACACATCTTTTTCCTGCTAGCAGAGGCCTCTTTTCTCTGGTATTCAGCGGGCGGGAGGAAAAATGGGCCGAAACGGACTTCGTTGAGCATGCAGTGCGGTTGATTGGAGACCTAATCATCACATGAAAATTTTAGCACATGGTTAAGTTTGAAACAAGACGTTGACAGGCTAAATGCAACTTACAAGCTTGTGATAGTGCGAAACGTGACCTCTTTCTTTCTTTCGCGTAGGTTATGCAGTGCATGGAGTACAGTGCTGGGAATTCTAAACTTTGACCGAGAAAATTATATTTTGTTGTTCCGAGTATAAATCATGTGTAACAGACCGTAGCGCATGAAAAAGAAATAATATAGCACGAAAACCAGGGAAAAGTGGCCTCTGCTAGCAGTGACGAATATACCTCATTCTATAATCATAAAATTTCGATCACACAAAAATTAGTCATGTTAAAGGGGGTGAACTAGAATGCATACAGTGTGAAAACTTTTTTATCGACTGTGGGAGTGCAATCCATTTTGTTTTTCTTTGGACTGGAGTGCAATGTCCTGTTGTTCCTCAGTTGGTAATTGAGATTGTACAGACAGCGGATGGTCTCTAAAGATATGCACGAGCCTCAGCGGGCTCAAGAAACTGTCAGTAAACATTACAAGGAGTATGCATTTTGCAAAGCACTGTTCATAAGTGTGGATGGTGGCTCTTCAACAAAGTCCGTTTCAGCCCATGGCAGAGGTCTCTTTTCCTCCTACCCCCCGAATACCAGAGAAAAGAGGCCTCTGCTAGCAGGGAAACAAATCTTACAACAGACTTTTGTTGCTAAAAGTATCCTCAATTGAATATAATTTTTTATATAAGTATGAATATTATATAAAAGATTCAGTTGTGTTCATGTAAATGAACTGCTTGCTTTATTTGTTGATGTAATTATTTATTTTTAAAGGGAGCAGGGTAAACTGTTTGCATTTGTGGTTTAAACTGACCGGGAAATTCAGGAACAAGTTTTTTATGAATCAACTATCTTTATATCATGTAAAAAGTTGCCTGGGGGACCTATTTAATTTTAGGAGCCCAATTGTGGGGGTTTAATAGATAGGAGGGGTTTAAAAGTGAGAGGCATTTATTTTACAATATTATTTTGACAATGCTTTCGCCAAGTACTATAATTATATTACAACAGGTTATAAATAGCAGACTATCCACTCCATCTGTTTGAGGCTGTTAAGAGATCCATATCTCATTTGTTTTAAACTTAACTTCGATGTTAGACACTTTACTTTGAATATGACATTGAAAAAGTGATGATTCTTAACATCTATGAAAGTGTACTTGTAACATAATTTCCACTTACTTTAATTTTTTTCTTGAAGCCTCAGCAAGTGGCCCGACCATATCCCAGCATGGCCCCTACAGGATACCCAACACAGCAGTACCCTGTGGGGCAGTATCCTATGCAGGGTGCTGTGCCTGTGGTCCAAGGCTCTTTTGATCCAGGTGCAAGATTTAATGCTGGGGCAACAGTAAATGTTCCAGTAAGTACGTTAATACTACTAAGATGATGTGACCCTGCCTTGAAGAGTTTGAAGTTACATGTGTGTTCTCAAGCATTGTGTGACTGTTAGTTAATAACCAATCAAGTTTCTTGTCGTTGTTGTCATCGTGAAATAACTGGTTGGACAAAGCAATCGTTATTGTGATTCTGGTCAGCTATTGAGTACTAGTGAACTGTTATTATTTACAGTCTATGTCATAGAATCTTCTCGTAACCCTCGGTGTTCCGAGATAAAGATAAAGGTAAATCAGTGGTCTGTGGTGGGTATAACTTCTCCTCTGCCTCTGTCTAGTTGAACAGTGAGCAGCCAACAACAGAGAGTGATGAAAGGGTTAAGTTTCTGAAATTATGGGATTTGTCAGGATATTCTGAAAGAACAATGTCCAAGAGGCCTACTTACCAAAAATGAGCATTTCAGGGCGGGGTTTATATGGAGTTTTCTAAGCATAACTGGGCTACGATCTCAGAGCCAATTTGCCCTGAAATGCTCATGTTTGGCAGGTAGGCTTCTTGGACATTGTTCTTTTAGAATATCCTGACAAATTCCATGATTTCAGAAATTTCATTTTTATGATGTCACACTTAAGTACTGTATGATGATAATAAAACAATTTCGTCAACCTTATGAGGTAGTAAAGATGTAATGCCAGTAAGTCTTAGCTTGAGTAAATAGCTAACATTTTGCGATGCCCTTACTGGTTTCCCCCCCTGAAAATGGCGTCTGAGAAACAAGCACAGAAATTTACCATTTACTGATGATGCATTACTACCCAATTATCAGTATGAAATAGGCCTTTTCAAAAAATACCTTAAGACTTTTGTTTGCCCCTCCAAAATTTTGCATATAAGCATTGTTTCTCTCGGGACTAAATCTCCTCTAGAGAAATTGAAAACAAAGAGTATTATGGTATTTTTGAAAAAGGCCTATTTCTGCGCTTGTTCTTTAAACATCATTTTCGGGGTAACCATTGATGGACTCGTGAAGTGTCGGCTGTTTCCTAAAGCTAAGTAAGTGGTTGAAATGTTAATCAAAATTTCAAGTAACTAAATCATGAGGGAAATCAAAATATGTTTTATCACATCACAAAATGTTAGCATGCATCCATCACATTCAAACCCATCTAATCTTTATCCTTTGTTTTAAACAGCCTCCTCCCCCAGGTTATGCTCCTAATGCAGCTCAAATAGCAGCATCCCAGGGACAGTCTGTTAATGTACAACAGAGGCAAGCTGGATGGTTCAGCGGAGGTACCGGTGGAGGATATACCTTCTGGTAGAAAATGAACTGAGTAGTTTAATCATAGGGAGCTTAAGTAATGGCGATGACAACAAGAACACAAAAAAAGCAACAGGTTTACATTAGCAAAACAACATTTTTGCAGTCACATGCCACACCTTTTTTGTACATTTCTTTGCTGTAACTGTACCACTATGATGTGAAAGTGCCTCATTTTACATCTTGTGGAGAAAGTAAACACAAGATGGCAACTTTTTTTTTCTTTAATTTCAATACAGTCTTTGAATTCAACTCCAGAAAAACTTACCAACATTTTATGAATCGAACAAGATGGAATAAGGGCGATAAGTTTTAAAGCAGCACTAATTTGCATTAATTTTTATGGGACACTTTTGTAGCTGTCACTGTCTTTGTTGCTTAAGCTCCCTAATAATGGTGCTGTGTAGTATAAACCTTTTCCCTCCCAAAGTCAATTTTGGAGACAAGATCCAGTTTTATTTTTGAGTCTTCTTCTGAACATTCCACCTTTGTTCAATGAATGTACCATTTGACTTTTACTATTACTTTGCAAAATAAGATTTAAGATTTTCAAAAATGGTTATTTGGGAGTTTAAGGGTAAAAAGAGGCAATGTTATGTAAGGCAGTTGATTCTAAAAAAAAAATGGAAAAAAAAGTACAGTGTGACACACCTATATTTGTGGTTGCCCAGAAAATTAATGTTTTTGAAAATTCAGTCAGCAGTTGCTAATTACAAAAGGTGCTTCAAACATGGCTGACACAACATGTTTTGAATATTTTTCCACGAAATTGGTTGAATAGCGTTTGGCAATTTTTTAATCCTTTCTCTTGCCTTCTTGATCTTTTACATCCTCATTTTTAAATACACAGGAAGGGTAAAGTTGTTGTGTTTATGACTGAAAGAATAAAAAGATAAGGCAAATGGAAATGACGGACACTTGGTAGAATGTGTAGAATTAAAATCTTTCTGCAGCAATCATTTATCATACCCTGGTCAAAGTACTCTAGTTAGCCTACTTTCAGTGTGATGAGTGGCCACAATATGGGGTGTTGCACTGTAAAATAAGACTGTCTCAAGATTTTGCCTCTTAATATGTTGAGCACTCCAGAAAATATCCATACTCCCTGCATGGGAGGTTTTTTGATCCTCTTGCCTCTCTGAGAATGATACACAAGGTTTGTTCTGTCCTATAAACAGTTTTGCCTTTAGGACCCACTACTCCTTAGAATTCCCCAGGGGACCCTCTGTGGAATGGGTATGGATATTTTCTGCAACCACAAATTGTAGAATTTAAAATGTCAGTGGCAATATGTAGGAAATGTCTTAAGCCAGATGCTTAATAAAGTTGTGTAGAAGCATACTAAAGTGGATTTTCATCTCTTTTTCTTCGCCTATGACTGACCACAGAAGTGGTCTCTAAAATCTTTTCATTGTAAATATCTGAGTAGTTTTAAGGCTACAACCTTAAATAATTATTTGGAACTACAATGTACAATTAAGTGTAAACGATAACACAGAACTACTCTTAGAGTAGTTCTGTGTTATCGTTTACACTTAAAAACATTTAGGTATTCGACTTTCAATTATTTATTATTGAAGGGGTGTAAGGGAAAAAATCCTTCAATAGTTGACTCTTGATCTTATGTCAAATTCTCCCCCTTTTTTGAAAGGAATACAAGGCATTTTGAATGGAGAATTTAAAAGTCTATCACCAGCTACTTGGGCCTTTTTTCCTTGCATCCTTCAACCCTTCTCCGTTCCGTAACAGTTATTTTCCATTTCGTACTAATATAATTCAGATTTGATGAGTAATAAGTACAATCCTTGGGAGCTTAACAAGCAAAGGCTTTTTTGAGTGATGTATGTCAACAGAAGTGGACTTTTTTACCATTCTTGGGCATGATTGTGCCCAAATTTTCCAGCAAATTGTCTCTGTAAGAGTGAGACACTTAAACAAACAAATTTTTTCATGGAAGGCATGTTGAAAGGGAAAAAAGGCCTCACTTTGAGTTGATGTGCCACCATTTTCTGCATTCAAAAGGAATTTCAAGTGATACCCCATGGCCAAGTTATATTTACCTCTGTCTAGATTATTGATTAGCTGTTTAACTCTTTCAGCCCTTCTCCAGACTGTTTCCCATACATTTTCATAAAGAGTTAGTTAATTAGTTTTCTTAACCCTTCACCTATGATGACTTAATATCGATATTGTTAAGAGAAAATCGATCGCTCTTAGAACTTTAAGGGTTAACTGCTGATACTGTAAAACTTTTATCAATTTTAAAAGTTATACCCCATTCAAAGGAATGTTAATTAATATAAAATTTAATATATGACATTCTATAGAAGTAGTCCCGAGATCAAAACAGGGATGGATTTAGAAAGAGGGGTCTGGGAGACTTATCAGCTCCGGCTTTAGATACTATCTATTTATTGGTTGAAGAACATTAGACAGTGCTTAAAAAAATAGCTCCAGAAGAAAGGTTTTACTGTAAATTCTTAAAAATTTAAGCTCAATTTCCAAAAGGGAATTATGAGGGAGAGGGATGTCCCCTTGGCCCCACTTTAAAATAATGCACCCCCAGGGGGTATTCTGGATTTCAAGTGACAGGGATGATTGAAGGATTATTTTGGGTTTGAAATATTTGATTCTGGGATTTTTTGGGTAGTAAAATTTGGCAAGTATTATTTTGGGTGGCTTGATTTAAGTGGGGATATTTTTGGCCATTCAGAATAATCAGAAGGTTCGTGCTAGTGTCTGTGTATCTCAGCTGCATAGTTCTGAGAGTACAGTACAACCACTTGTTTTCCTTTCTGGAGATTTTTAAGGGCTCAGAAATTCGGCATGGGACTTTTGGCCCCATTCGATCATCCCTGTCACTTGAATCTAGAGTGCTTCCACTGGGAATGCACTCATGCACAATCCTATTATACAGCCAAATATATATATAAGTAGTTACCCTGCCCTGAGATTGTGATGCATTTATGTGTTTCTAACTTATTTAGGTTCATCATTAAGCAATCATATACAAAAAGAGCATATGTTTGGTTTTTTTTCAAAAAGCAATGTTGAAAATTAATTCTCCTTGGTTGTAAATGTTACTCAGCAATCTTAATCCTTTTAATGTTTTATTCTAAGTCACCCCTAGGTTGAAATATCATAACCTTCAGATAAATGCCTAAGTTTTGTTATAACTAGACTCCTCCAAAGAGCTTTTTAATTTGAAATATCTTTTGGTAGTTAATTGGTAAGGGCAAAGCCCTGAGGTCACTCACCAAAGCCAGTAATGCAATAAAAAATTATTATTGCGTGAGGTCTTTTTAAATATAGGAGCTTTCTTGTGAAGTGTTTATTTGAAAACACCAATATCAATTATTATTATTCTTGTTATCGATGAGCTGATACATAACAAGCAAATCAGGAAATCAG